AAAAAAAAAAAAAAAAAAAAAACCTATCTGCTCTACCATTTAAACCACCACTACCCCCGCCATCATAAATTAGGGGAGGGCCGGTAGCACAGGTCCATGAGGACTACCGGTAGCACAGTGGGGGGAACTGGTGGATTGGCAAAATTGGAAAATGCGTTGAATTGCCCCCGTGATTTATTTCGCTGTTAAAATGATTTATTATTATTATTTTTTTCAATATTTTTCCTATAAATATCGCGACAAAATCTACGGACCCTCAAATTTTCAGAGTTGCTGAGTCAACCTTCTGAGCATAAAAAATCACAAAAGTTGGGGTACTTTTCCCGTTGGCCCACACGTAGTAGAGTGGCGAAAATGGAAAATGCGACGAGATGGCGCGGCATTTGTTTCAAGGTCTTCTTTTTTTTTTCCATTTTTTTTGATATTTTTCCTGGAAAGATCACAGCCTAATCTACAGGGGCAAGGTCCCACTAGCAACGGGATGGATAGGATAGAAACGAGTTTGTGGGACAGTTGAGTGACCCAAATCCTGCCGTGCAGTACTCGTGATCACACGGTCAGTATTTTACTTGTATTACCCGAGAAAGTAAGGAGATCTTTGTTCATGCCCATGCAAAGAAAGCTTCCTGCCGGAATCTTTTCAATCGGTTGGGGGTGTGGCCAACCCCAAAGGAGGGTGGGGTCGGCCCTTGGGCCCACTGGATAGAAGATTTTCGGTATTTTACTTGCTGTTGGACAGTTTTAGAGAGTTTTGTTTGGGAGTCTAGGGGTTCTAAGCATTTGAAAAGAGGTCAATATATTTAAAAAAAAAAAAAAAAAAAAAAAAAAAAGAGGTCAATAGTCATTCATAGTTTTTCAACCTGTCCTTCAATTCTCTTGAGTCTCTTCAATAGTTCTCAGGAAAAAAGAAAAATAAAAAAAAATTGCTGTTGTGCAATTATCTCATTGGGTGGAGCCCTCCTTCAATCACGGAGTACATGGAGGGTGTCAGGATCAGTGCTGACAGAAGTCAAGTTTATTCCAGAAAACGTGGCAGTTACTTTGTTCACTGTTGTGGGGACCACCACCACCATCACATCATTTGTGATCTGATGGCTGGGAAGCACTCCGCCGTGATTTTGGGTGGGAGGTCTCTGTTTCTTTTTTTTTTTTTTGCCTTTCTCCTGTTTTCTCAGCCTAGAAATTCGTAATGAACCTGTCACCCCGCTGCCACTCAGTGTCACACTGGATCGCCCACACTCCTATCCGACTGCTAAATGGGACCTCGCCCCATGATCTCAAATTTTCAGATTTTTTCATCAATTATTCTGAGCGCAAAAAATCACCAAAGCTTGCGCTTGAAAATTATTTTTGTACCGGACCCGCCTGCACCTGCCAGTCGACACCCCCCCTAAGAACCCGGTCCGTAAGGCCAGGAAACACGAATTTAGGCCGGCGGGGGTAGTGGTGGTTTAAGAGGGGTGAATGAAGTAATTAAGATAAAGACAGGCGGATCAATCATCAGGATAAACAAAACAAAACACTGCTTAGGTCCTACTGCTCAGCTACTTCTGATTGGTACACCTGTCTGGGAGTCACCTGGGATGGCTACTACCTTCTTCCCCCGAATACAACGTACGGTCATTATAGCTGTATCTAGACTGAACGATGCCTCAAATACAGCTATAATGACCGTACGTTGTATTCGGGGGAAGAAGGTAGGAGGGGCTGCCAATGGGGGGTTACTTTTTTTGGAGGCGTGGTAAGAGCACGCAGCCCCTCCTAGTAGCCATCCCAGGTGACTCCAATCAGAGGTTTCATTATTATGTACAAAGTGTGGCCCTGCATATGCATATTGCATATGCTTCCAGAATAATACCAAGGGTTGGAAAAAAAATCATGACGGAGGCCCTGCAAAGGGGCTGGCTCCACTGCTCACCAAATGTGCAAAATGGGGATGAATCTTTCACTAGAAAAAGGAGAGAGGGATACACCACCATGTTCTTTTGTCTTGTGTGTATGTGGCGAGTAGTGCGGCAAGGCCCAAACGCTAAACCAGTAGGTTTCCATCCTCTGTTCAGACTCCAGAGTGTTCGGGCAATTAGGAAGAAAACCAATCAAGAAACAGATTCGCCTCCACATTACCCAACTCTTCGGAGTACCATGCAGAAATACCCTTGGTCTGCTGGCACTTCACATAGTTCTCTCTTCGTGATTGGAATCACTGTCAGACTTTCCTTGTCTAAAACGGCTCGCAGCTGGAGGGGCGTACTTCGCCTCTGCAATTATCTCCGTGAAAATTAATCAGATTCACATTCAAACTCCACATGTACGCGAGTTTGGAGGCAGAGGTTTCCGCTCCTTGGCACATTTCTATGCCTCTCTTCATAGCTGGTTTCCCCACCCCCCACCCCCCAGGACCGGTCTCCGTAGGGGCCCGGGTTCTACCCTCCACCCTCCACCCTTGCCCATGCTATCCCTCACCCCCGGTTAGGCTCAACCCTACCATAGTGGATCCCTGAACCCTAGTGGACCCTCAGTGTTCAGTTCAGATAGAATCCTTTTCTTTTTCTTTTTCAATAAAAAATTTTCAGATAGAATCCTACTTCCCCTGGACGATATAATCCGGGAATGTTCAAATGTATATGGGACATTGGACCCCGTTTCCAGCAGGTGACGCCCCCCACCAATAGATGGGGGAGGTGGTGTTTTTTTTTTTGGGGGGGGGAAAGGTAGGTGGTGTGAGGTAGAATGGAGAGAAGAGTAAAACAGAGTTTTCAAAGAATAATAAAAAAAGCTTCCCACTTCAGCTACATAGCACAGGGCTGGCATAAGACAGATGCAGAGGAGTTCCGTCCAGGGCCGCCCCATCCATGGAGTTTTTCGTCCAGGGCCCCATGACTATTTGTACTGGTCGTATAGCCCCCAGAGATTCCCCCCTTCCCAATCCTCTTTCAGAGCCCTCCAGCTCCCCTCGGCTAAATCAGGGCACTGTCAATTTCTGGCAAATATGGTGGCGCCTTCAACCGCCAGTACATAGCCCCAGCCCTGACAAAAATGGCGGGTTGCCAAATCGTGATTTTTTTGTGGCTCGCGGCTACTGCACCACAATGGCTGGTGGTGCCAGCCAAGACGGAAAAGACGTGCACCGGGGGCGGTTCAGAAAAGCTTGGCGCACAGTGCAGCGCCTCCAGCCCCGGGTCTACTGGTGACTTAAGACCTTCCTTCAGGCCTTAAAGGACCACTCTCTTTCACATACATCGGCCGCGGGGAGGGTCCCCGCCCCCACTCGTTTCCGAGGCCGAAACAAAACAGCAGCCGCCGATGACATTTATCAACAGCAGCCTTCGTCAGGCCTGGTCCCCAAAGAATGCGGTGTAGGCTATGTTCCCACTTTTCCCAACACTGTGAAGAGCTAGTGGCGAATTAACACCAGGAAAAATGAAATTTCCACAACTGCAAGCTGACCTCCATCCAGGACCATAGCCCATCCCCTTCTTTTTTTCATTTAAACACTAACCTATATTCTTCTCTCAATATATCTCCCATTACCTACCTACCTACATGCAGTCACTAACAGCCGAAGCAACCACAGGGTTATATGGGTCTAAGGCTACCACCTCTGCTCTGTGCGGGGAGCAGCACCCTGGTTCCTAACACCTGGCGCAGGCTGGGAAGACCAATCACCACTTCCCCAACCAGCCAGGAGGCCCAAGCCGAATACCTCTGCTGGTGAAGCCGAAGCATATCACAGGAGGGGCGTGGGGATTTAAATGGCCGACGTGGGGAATTGAACCCATGGCCTCATGAATACCACTTACATCCTCCAACCAACTGAGCTAGCCCCCTTGGGCTCATAGCCCATTCCCTTGTTCCCCTTGTTAAAGAAAAGCAAAAAAAAAGATTTTTAAACTGTGCAAGGATTCTGCACCTTGGCGGCCCCCGACCAGCCACGAGGCCCGAGCCGAATATCTCCGCTGGTTAAGCCGAAGCATATCACAGGAGGGGTGGACGGCGTGGCGAATCGAACCCACGACCTCATGAATACCACTTACATGCTCCAACCAACTGAGCTAGCCCGCTTGGGCTCATAGCCCATTCCCTTATTCCCCTCGTTAAAGAAAAACAAAAAAGAGATTTTTAATTTTTTACACAACTTCAAGCCTGTGCGAGGATTCTGCACCTCGGCCAGCCAGGAAAAGGCCCTGCCCGCCCCACATGGAGGTGGGCTTGCAAAAATGAATCCTCACCTGAGTTCAGGCCAATGCGATCAGGATGGGGGGCAAAAAGGTGGTTACTGCAGAAGTGTAGCATCTGCAACAAACCAGTAGATCTAGTGCACGAGTCAGTTGAAGATGCTGGGCCTCGTGCAGATTCCAGAAGGGCCCAGGGCGCAGGAAACTGGGACAGGGCGCAGCCTGGGCAGATGTTGCATACTGCAACGTGCAGACCAGAACAAGAACCGACCTCTCAATACAAAGTACAAGATAACACAGCGGAAGACTTAGA